GGCAGTTGCGCTTGCGACCACTCGACCAACGAGGCTGCAGCGAGCCACGGAGGGTAGGCAGAGAAGTAATTTGACATCATGTTCCATTATTTAATTTACACCACGTCTCTCTTATCGCAATCCACAACTCAACCCATTATTTACCCCCACGACGATAAACAATAACAAATTATATTGTCTTTATGTTTGCACGGTCGATTAAAACGTGGGGTTTTTGGGTAAAAGGTAATCAAAGTCTTCGGTCGTTTCAAATGGGGTGCGGTGGATCGCAAAACCTTTTATTTACCCCTTTTTATGGTTCAAGCGGTAATTTTACAATAGCTATTCTCGTCACGTTATTTATTTGTTAGTGAGTGTTTTTTTTTTTTTTTTATGGCATAAGCCAGTAAACGAGCAGACGGATCACCTGATGGAAAGCAATCGGCGTCGCCCATGGACACCTGGAATACCAGAGGCGTTACAAGTGCGTTACCGGCTATTTGTGGATTAGGAGTTTGAGGATTGTTGGGGATTCAGGGATTGGGGAGATTGGGGAAGGGGAGGGAAATTGGGCCTCCGGTAACCTCACTCACGCGACGAAACACAATGCAAGCGTTGCTTCACGTCGGTTTTCTGTGAGGCCGTGGTATCACTCCGGTCGAGCCGGCCCATTCGTGCCGAAGCATGGCTCTCCCACACTTGAAGTGTATGTATTTTATGTCCATATCTTATATATTGTTGTGTGAGTAGCTTTTATTATATCGAGCTTGAAGTTTTGGGTTTGGAGTAGGGGTAAAATATAGCTGGTAGATTATGCGATAGCATTGAATCTACCCCGTAGATTAAACATATAAAAACACAGATGCCTAAATAATCCATAGTCATGCCCTTGAACTCGTTGAGTACCGTCATTATAGACACAATTAACTCGTCGAGCACCGTTATTATAGACACAATTAAAGAACGATAGGTTGCGGTCACCGGTGACCGCTTGGTGTTTGACAGTTTAAAGAACAATAGGTTGCGGTCACCGGTGTCCTTGCGGTGTTTGGCAGTTTAATATTCACAAGGTACTTTTGACTTACAGTTTTATACAAATCAAAATCTTTGTTTAAATCTTTTAAATCTTTCAGAATATACAGTGGACACAGTTCTAGATTTGGCGCTATGACTGAATTATTTTCGAATAAGAATACTGTTACTCCTTGTTCGTTATCGCACTTGCGTCTATTCGAGATAGTCTAAGTTACAACTATAACAATCTCAACAATGTTTTTAATGGTATAAGCCGATAAACAAGCAGACGGATCACCTGATGGTAAGCAATCATGGACACCTGGAACACCAGAGGCGTTACAAGTGCGTTATATACATTTTTGGGATTAGGAATTTGAGGATTGTTAGGGATTGGGGAGATTGGGGAAGGGGGAACCGGGCCTCCGATAACCTCACTTATACAACGAAACACTATAAAAGCGTTTGTTTCACGTCAGTTTTCTGTAAGGCCGTGGCCGTCGACCACTCCGTGGAGGATCAAATCTCAGACCCTCCGGAGCGTACGGCGCGTCGCGTTTTGCGCGCGCCTCAAAGAGCCATCAGACCACCACGGTTGGGGCCCAATAAGGTTGATGCCGATACGGAGCTGCGGAGGACTTAAAGGGTTACCGGGGCTCCAGCTCGAACTGCAGGAGTAGGAACGGGGTGGTTTTTAGTCAGTAACAGTCTAACACTAAAGGCGGGAGAAGTCAATCGAAGATTTTCCCACTTAAAAAGTAAATTAAACAGCAGTTATACTTGAACTTAGACAACAATGCACTCACGGTTTAATAAACCAAACGAATATCAAAATAACTTCAGAATTCTGCACCAGTTTCATCATCGTTTCAGTTACAAACTTCTTATCAGATGTTAAGTTAGCTATAAGTTTAAACTAAGTTAGACTTGTAATCTAACTTAATGAAATTAGCGGGAAGTTTCAAGCTTAGATAACACATATTGTATGTTTCATTACGCTAACTTTAGAAGTAGGGTAGGCAGAATTTCAAGTAGATTGTTGATAAGTTATGTTGCTTTACATAATGTTTGGGTTGGGTGGGATTAATGAACGTAGTTTTGTTGCATGATTGTGATAGTAATTGTTGGTCGTTTGATTTGATTTTAATACTCATTAGGGCCGACGGAGCTCTGTTGGCAAACTTGCGGGTTATTCATCTATGATCCGAAGCAGGAAAGTAGGAACGGGGTGGTTTTTAGTCAGCAAGAGTCTGACACGCCCGCTCGCTTAGTCTGGGCGAGAGAACTCATAAAAATTTGATGATTTTCGCCCTCAAAAAAGTCAAGGGAGATATGAAATGTATGTAAACAAATGTCACAGGTCCAGTGATACAGAAAAATGCTATCGGTTCATTTTGACTACGTCGTCGCTAACTACAAAAATGTACCTAAGCGTGACGTCACGCGATATATAAATCCAAATATTTATCTTTAAAATTATTCGTGTCTATGTTATCCTTATTTACGAAAACATCTTACGCAACCAAAAACACCAAAGAAAACACATATAGGCAAGTGTGTAACCCAATATATTCCCATAAATACCAATAATACACCATAAAACCGTAGTAACTACTGTATCGAGTGCCTACAGGATATTACTTCATAAATCCACTCATTCCTATATGGTCGTTACGTGAGAATAAGCCTTTATTACTAGCATATGAAGGACATGAAGGTATACCAATTTGACACATTTGTTTAAAGGATTTTCACCTGTATTGAAAAAGTGTAAGGTTGAAATTGGAATGAGGTTTGGTTAGTTGGGGCTGGTTTGATGTGATGGTGTGTTAATAATATTTAATGTGAAAGTAATAAACATAGGGTGGTATTTAATACATTAACTGTAAATTCCCTTTTTTCAATTATAATGTTCGAAATTACCACCAAAAATACTGAATTATACACTAAATTTGCTCATCAAATAAACCAATTATACTATACTGTTAGTTATATCTTTAAAGCTTAACTGTTTTACTGAATGACTATCTTTTAACTAAAAGTAAATCTAATAATTCTTCGAGTGCAACAAAATATAAGTGTGGGAGAGCCATGCTTCGGCACGAATGGGCCGGCTCGACCGGAGTGATACCACGGCCTCACAGAAAACCGACGTGAAGCAACGCTTGCGTTGTGTTTCGTCGTGTGAGTGAGGTAACCGAGGCCCAATTACCTTCCTCTTCCCCAATCTCCCCAATTCCTGAATCCCCAACGATCTTCAAACTCCTAATCCCCAAAAGGCTGGTAACGCACTTTTAACGCCTCTGGTGTTCCAGGTGTCCATGGGCGACGCCAATTGTTTAACAGGTGATTTGCATGATCGTTTACCGGCTTATGCCATAAAAAAATATATAAAAACAACAAAAAAACATAACCTAACCTAATATTGAACAATTAGAGTGCAAATCAGTATTTTTGTTTTACGGTTTATTTTTTTGATATGTAGTAGGTTATTAGTGGAGAAATTTAGTTTGCTTAAATTTATAAACAGAGGTGCAATAAAAAATCTCCATAAATAAATACAGGTTGTAAACTGGCTGCCTCGTTGGCCGAGTAGTCGCAAGAGCGACTGCCGGGTGAGGGGTCTCGGGTTCGATTCTCGGGTCGGGCAAAGTATTGGGTTTTTAAAGAATCACAATAGTAGCACGGAGTCTGGAATTGTTCCTGGTATATGACTATAGGCTCAACCTCTATTACATGGAACTCATAACATAAATAGTGAATAGTGGGTGTTACATTATACAGTGGCATTAAGTGCCGTAATGTATACCGCTGCTTACCCCTTCGGGGATAAAAGGCGTGATGTTATGTAACGTTATGTACCCACGACACAGGAGAAAATCCTAATGCGGAGCAACGCTTAAAAAAATTCAGAAGTCCTCGACTATTATTATTTTGTCTTTATTTTTCTTTCTTCTAGCGTAGTATTCTACATTTTATTATTGACGTCAGTGAAGTAAGATGGATGGTGAGAAAATAAACAGAATCTAGTCGCTGAAAACTGGAGTATATTTCTTTTCTTTGCTTAGTAAATATTATTGTGACGTAAAGTGAATAATAGGATTTTGATCAAATATGTGTGCAGCGTAAATGTACCGCACATAAAATAAAAAGCTATTTGCAGTTTGAATGTAATTAAGGATAAAGTTTTATAATATTATAACATTGACTATTTTATTTTGTTACTATGATAACACTGTAAATTAAAAATAATTATCATAACCAATTAAATCTGTTCCAAAAACGGAAACCGAACCTGTACCTGAAGTTGAGCTTAATACTCAACCAAAAAATACCTATGTCAATATTTAATACAATCTGAAATCATACTATCACACTGCAAACAGAAAAACACCGATATCCACAACACAATTGATTACCTATTCACTAGAAACGGACACAAACAAACAAACAAAAACATACATTTCATAAAACAAACGTTGAAAAACAATAAAAGTCAAAGCAAATAGAGTTTAAAACTAACATTGACCGATTTGAAGTTATCGATCGTTCAATCGATGAAAATACATAATTATAAGAAACTGTCGTAGCTCTATCCATAATTAAGAAGAAGAAACTACCGGGTGTTATACCACTGGCTAGTTCCCACAAGACAAGCGACGCTATTGGAGGATACAAATTACACGTCATCGCAGAAAATTCTCATGACACTGAATTTAAAAATCGATCATTTCACTTCGACAACGTGTGAAAGCTACACGCGTCGCATTTCGAAAAATGGGACTAAATTCTTGGAAATTATAAATTTTGAACTTTGATACTAACTACTGAAAGGATATTTTTGGAACTAATTCAAGGTACAGTATTGATATGTTTTATTAATTTTAAGTCTTAATGCTAAAGTATTAGAGGTTGTGTTAAATGTAATTATAATGTCTAATGAAGATGTTAATGAAGTTATATTTGCTGATTGTAGTAATGAGTCTATCGATTGATTTATGGCAAGGTTGCGTCGTGACATTGAATTACTGTCACTGCAAATACGCAATGTAAAATTTCTATAACACCATAATTTATTCGTTTTCATGCTAAAGACTGTATAAAGTCGATAAAACGTAAAAACTGACAAGGTCCTAATATCTACTCAAACATACTTTATTAATAATTAATTGCATCATTTTTATTGATAAAGGTATAGATATTGATGAAGATGTAACTAATTCTAATTCAGATCATAATTTACATGAGGATCACATTTCAGATGATGACCAAAGTGAAAGCACAGGGGCTGGTCTCCGACCTGATGCCCAACATCAAGTTGATGCAGGCAGCTGGACACTTCCTCTTCAATTACCATGCAGGTATGAAATTTTGTTAAAACATGCACATTTACTTACTGAAAGAAAAGATACCAAATTAGTATTTGTTGTCGGACATAAGGTTAATGAAATAGATATTATTAGTTGTTGTAAGATATTTATTATAGATTACCAAACGATAGTTTGGTTTCAACTTAGTAAAGAAAGAGAGAGAAAGAGAAACACTGTTTTTGATAGAGATAAAAATGTATTTAAATAACAGTAAAATTATTAATAAAGAGAAAAGACTAAAAAAGAAAATGTGACAAAGAACTATCAGTCTTAATTCAAATTGGCATTGAGGCTAAAGTTGATATTCTAGATAATATTATTTACCTTGTACCAGTTGATACAGCAATAATAAATATTAACGTTAATTCAGTACCTATTCGTAGAAAGCATTAGGAGTATTTGTGCTTAGATCGTTTCTACTCTTGTGTCATAACAAGGTCATAAAAAGTTATTACCAAATGGCAGCTTTCAAAAATAACGTTCACAGTACCTTTGGGATTATCGTCCTTAAAAACCTTCGACAATTTTGGAAGCAGATATATTTTTAGCTGATTTTCGTTTAGCCGATTATTTTTGTAAGTCCCTAGTCGATCCATTTTATCGACATTATTATTCGTTAAGTCTGAAAATCTCTAAAGTTTACTGTTTCTGTTGAAAATAGTAATTTCGTCTTTTATGGCGAACGAAAAAGGTTAATCTGAATATCAATCAGTTATGTATTCTACACGGATTCAGCAAGAAAGTCGAATTTTATTCTAGAGGTAAATTCCTGTAGATGAATTGTTTATCTATTCACGGGACTTATAATATAGCCGAAGAATTTAACTAAGAAATCTGTCTATGTAGGTACCTACTGTAATAATAGAAAAATGAAAACAGTTTACATAAAACAAGATCATAGTTTCATCGCAGTCTTCAAATCATTCATAATGAAATTGATCTACATAAAAAAGTAGCCTTTAAGAAACTAACGAAAAGTAAAAACTAAAAAGCAAAAATTAAATATTATTGGTCATACGTACTTATAGCTTACACACCCACTGATAGGTATGAAGTCGGTGCCACAAGTTTATAAGATACCTAACATTATTAAGCTGTTTGCAATTTCATTATGAATTGTATCTGTATCCATTACCTAAGTTATATTTTGTTATGGGTTTGTGGCACCAACCTCGTAAACATAGCCAAATTGATAGACTCCTCCTTTTTGGGAAGTCGGCTAAAAACTAAATACATTTTTCCATCATGTTCAACCTTCACAAAGCCGTCTTCCTCACAAAATCTTCTACCGTTAATCCCAAAAACTAGCACCCCTATTTTATCTACCCAGAAAATGGTGGCATGACCGGCCTCCTTCGTAAGATCTACGCCAGTACCCACGCGATTCTCATCACGATACACTTCGCGTGCTTGGGTATCAACATGGCCCAGTACTCTGACGAGGTCAACGAGCTGACTGCCAACACTATCACCGTCCTCTTCTTCACTCATACTATCATCAAGTTGGGGTTCTTCGCTTTGAACTCCAAGAGTTTTTACAGGTGCGTGTTCTATTTTATATTATTATTCTTTTATGTTTAGCTCTTCTGTGGTTATGTAGTTCTTTACCTACTTTTGTCTTAATAGCTTAAAATCGTATGACTTACTCGAAGAATTATTCTTCGCCTGCATGAGATTTGGAATTCTTTTGAATGCAAGGTGCTGATCCTGAAATAAAATAGAATTTAAATTGAAATTTTTCTATATAGAATCGAACTGGGGTGTGTTACACTTGCGCAAGCAGAGCAAGTAGTTTTATTACATTTCTTAATGGTTAAGACTTGGTTCTAACTCCCACCTTCGAGTAAAAACCTGAAACCAGTGTAGCGTAGTCACAATATAATAAAGTTGGGTAAAAATATATACAGAAGAATACGTTAGTGAAGATCTATCAATTGTAAATTATTTCTACAATCATTTAATTACCAGTAGGTATCTTGTTAACCGTATTGAAATATATCAAAGACAGTTACAAACCCAAAAACAATTAAAAACTTAAAAAGAAGAAAAGAAAAAATTACAATTACAAAAAAGTTTAAGGTCATACAAATCCAAATTTATTTATAAAAAAAACTCAACTTACACAAAATACAAAAGAAAAGAAAAACAGGTAACGGTTTTTTAAATACAAAAAGTAACGGTCCGCTGTTCCAATTTTTAATTATCACTTCATTCGCTCAACGACTTTTATCTACAAACGGCAATAAAAAGAATATTAATTTTTTAACGTTCCTTTTTTAAAACGATGTCGGTTAAAAAGTCCCCAGTATCTCGCTATCGTTAAAAAAATCTAAAACAATTATTATCTCTCGGAGCTTTAACGACGTATTTGTTGAAATCTTTACTTTTTTTTTACTTAAGGTAGAGAGGGAACTTGCATTTTTAATTAATGAAAAAGTTTATTTTATTCTGCACTACAAATAAACTGAATTGCTTATATTTATACTCGTTATTGTACATTTTATTACTAGTTAACAGTATTTTAATATTGTTAGTAACCAATTGCTGTTATCATTGTATGGATTGGTAATGATAATATAAGTATTCGATTAAAGTTTACATGAAGCACGTATTAAAAAAAATTACTGATCATAATTTCAGATTTTGTGATATACATAATTCATACTTTCTTTAATTTAAACTCAGACAAAATCTTTTTAAAATTTCATGCCTAAACAACAAAATAAAAATGGTAATAATATTATTATGTTGAAAAAATGAGCGTCAGAATTGTCAATTGTATACTCGACGGACCGGCACGAAGTATTTGCAGCCAATTTTAATTTTAACAATCTAAAACAAAGAGAACGTTTGAAATTGGAATGATTTTAATTTTGAATTCCATTCCTCTTTTATTACAAACGGTAACAATTTTTATGTCAATATTTATTTTGTTTTTGTATTTTTCTTTCGTTCTATTTTCAAATTCAAAATGGTTTGTTTTTTTTTCGTTTTACCGTCGACGTGGTTTTGTTGTTATTTAATGAAATATTAATAGATTACTTTTATATTGTTTGTTTTGTTTTTGAAATTAAGTCATTTATAGGTGCTTATTACACAATATGCACCTAAACTGAACCTAAAAAAAATGAGACATTAAAACAGAGCTCAATCTGAATATTTGTAACTATACAAAGATAGTGCCGCAAAGAACCGTTAAATCACCACAGATGGTCTGGGTTTAATCCAATAAGAGTCGTGACACTCGCTCAAACGTCAGGGCGGGAGTTAATTAAACAATTTTTCCGCCTATTTAAAAAATCTGTAGGATACATTTATAACTTGAACTGCACGGTTAACTTTGACTGCACGGTTGGTGCGGTGGCTGGGCAACCGGTTGTCGTGCAACGTGTCGCGGGTTCGATTCCCGCACGGAACAACACTTTGTGTGATCCACAAATTGTTGTTCCGGTTCTGGGTGTCATGTGTATGTAAACTTGTATGTTTGTAAACGCACCCACGACACAGGGGAAAATCCTAGTGGGGGGCAACGTTTAAAAAAACCCTTTTTCTGTAACATATTGGTTACAGTCGTACTAGGTACCTATTATTGTAATTGTGAAAGTATGTATCTGTGTTTCTTTGTATCACCTTCAATTCAAAATGGCTGAAGGGATCGGAATGATATTTGGAACAGCAATAGATTATGGTTTGGAATAACACATAGGCCACTTTCTACCCCACGGGAACGCGAGCGAAACTGCTGGCAGAAGCTATAATAATAATTATACATTTCAAACGCTAAAGTCACAGTTAAAAAATACTAGTTGCCTATAAAGATATTGAAATATCTGTCTTTCATATACTTTCGTTTGAAATTGAATCGCGATGCGTAGGTGAAGTGCAGTCATGCTTCAAAACAATTTACTTTCAGTGGCGAGTAAAAGGAAAGCTTTGGAACCAATGATTTTCAATGTATGTGTACGAATATTTTTTTTTGAAATAAAATTTCTGATTGATAAACTATGAGGCCATGAGGATAAAATTTAAAGTATTGATACCCAGACAAAACTCTAAGGCCAGATAACAGTCAAATGACAATTTTATTGTACAGTTAAGAATTAACTAACTATTGAAAAATCAGCCCTAAGTATTTTGTATGCTTTCAAAATAGAGAGCTTCTTGTAAATAACATAACATCACGCCTTTTATCCCCGAAGGGGTAAGCAGAGGTGCCCACCCACTTTTCAATATTTAGGTTATGAACCCCTAATGAACGCTCATTGTCATGTTATAGGGGGTAAGCCTATTGCTATATACCGGGCACAGTTCCAGACTCCGTGCTAATACTGAGATTTTTTAAAAAGCCAGTAATACTTTGCCTGACCCGGGAATCGAACCCGAGACCCTTCTTCTTCTTCTGGTAACCTCAATTAAACTGTCAAACACCAAGCGGTCACCGGTGACCGCAACCTATTGTTCTATAATTGTGTCTACAAAACCGGTACTCGACGAGTTAAACGGTGTAACACAATACTACTAAACCTTAGTTTGCATCGGGTTTTCGTGGCGTTAATATCACTCCGGTTGAGAAGGCCCATTTGTGCTGAAACATAAACAGTTCAAGTAAAATCAAAACTTTCATACTATGAACTAAACAATAAATGTCACCGTGAATTGCAACTTAGTACTTTTAAAAACAAATTATTATATAGATTAACTAGGTAAGCATAAGGAAACAATCCAATTCTGGAATCCTTTTTCGTAATATTTATTTTCGCAGTTTATAGAAATCAAAACAAAGTAATTTGACCAAGTATTAAGTTATGCTTACATCAACAGCCTACAAGTGCCCACTACTGAGCAAAGCCTCTTCTCACACGGAGAAGGTTTGAGCATTAATCACAACACTTGCTCATTACTGGTAGGCGATTTCGAACTTATAATTAGAAATTATAAGCCCAGCTTCCCTCACCATGTTTTCCTTCACCGTTTGTCAGTGGTGTCTAAATAATCTTAGAAAGTACATATAACTGGGAAAAAGTCCCATTGGTACTTGCCGTTGATAGGTTTCGAAATCGCATCCTCATGCATGAGAAGCGGGCGTCTTAACCTCCAGCCCACTACGACATTAAGTTATGCTTATTTAACTTAAGTTCACGTAATAAATAACCTTTTAATAACTTGAAATAGAAAACTTTCTTCGTCCAAAGCATACGTTTGAACTTAATAACTTAAGTATTCTAAAACCTTGTCATTACTAAGTAGAGTCTTAGTAAATAACTTAATAAGTTACAATCAAGTATCGTGTATTAAGTTATAGCCAAGTTTACAATGAAAACAGTTGTTCGTTCCCACATATATGAAGTTTTACGTAGAAATAGATAGAGTGTATCATTAGAAAATTATTCTTTCAATAAGGTCAGATTGTTTTATTTGTTTGTTTTGTTAACTGTTTTCAAATATGTTTTGTTTTGTCTGTGTTTCATAATCAATGTGGGAGAGCCATGCTTCATGAGAGAGACGTGAAACAACGCTTGCGTTGTGTTTCGTCCAGTGAGTGAGGTTACCGGAGGGCCAAATGCTTCTCTCTCCCAATTCCTAACTATCCGCAAATTCCTAATACCCGAAAGGCCGGTAACGAACTTGTAACACCACTGGTGTTCTGGTTGTCCATAGTCGCCGATTGCTTACCATCAGGTGTTCCATCTGCGCGTTTACCGGCTTAACCTATGAAACAAATAACATCTTTAGTTTTAGTATTTAATTATTTTAACGTTTCTTTTATTGAAAGGGTTAGGTTTTATTGATTTTACGTATCTATAATTGTAGCTCGTAGTCACTTTTGGCGCTTATGGGCAAGTAGCTGATGTACTAAGGAGTAACATAGGCTACTTTTATTTTGGAAAATTATAACAAAAAAGGAATGTCCAAAAATTCTACGCGAACGAAGTCGAGGGCAACAGCTAGTTTTCGAAGTGGCTTATTATAAAATGAAATGAGTTTTGTTTGTACATATTTTATGCGTTTTTGTACCGGCATTACAGGTAGTTATGGAAATTATATAAGTTATTGTTTGCTTTTACGTAAAGGTTATAATTAAAAGCATAGTAAAATAACAATGGGTATTCAAATTGTGTTGTACATAATTTAGAACGTAACTGGCTTATGTCTATAACAATGGGTTAGGTTTAAGGGAGACCATCGTTTGTTTAGTTCCTCATTAAACTTCCTCATTTTTGAAATAATATACCCAAAGTACCTATTGTGAAATTATTCTGAAAAGTAGAAAAACGGCAACCAATACTGCACGGTTGGCGTGGTGGCTGGGCAACTGGCTGCCGTGCAACGTGTCGCGGGTTCGATTCCCGCACGGAACAACTCTTTGTGTGATCCACAGATTGTTGTTCCGGGTCTGGGTGTCATGTGTATGTGATATTGTATGTTTGTAAACGCACCCACGACACAGGAGAAAATCCTAGTGTGGGGCAATGTTTCTTTAAAAAAAAAAAAAAAATATATATATAATAGATACCACAAGAAAAATTTTAGAATGTCTCTGTCGGTTCGTAGTTTGTCGTACAATGCTCCTCACGTTTATGAATCCCTAGTGTGACTTCAACATAGTCGAGTTACTTTATCAAATAATTAGCAGAAAAGCAGTACTTTAAATAACACTTTTAATAAGAAAGATTGTACAACTAATGCCTTATTCGCAGTATGCTACCTAGTATTTTAGTCAAGAAGCGAATCTTTAGTATATTCCTCTCGCGTCTGTCCCAAAATCAAAGCGAGAGAGAGTCACTAAATACTCGTTACTTGAGTAAAATACTAGCATAGTGCGAACAAGGCGTAACGTCTATTTTTTAGCTATCAGAAATAATTCTTAACTAACTTCACCAGGACTTTAGCAGTATGGAACCAGTCGAACAGCCACCCTCTGTTCACGGAGTCAGATGCCCGCTACCATCAAATTGCGCTCACCAAGATGAGGAGACTCCTGTACTTCATCTGCGGCATGACTGTCCTGTCAGTTGTTAGTAAGTAAAACACCAAATTTAACTGAGAGACTGTATGTACCAGGTAAACATACAGTGGCAAGATCTCACTTGTTTGTTTAGCCAGTTTTTATGCAGACCCCAAAACAATGAATTTTAGAAATCAGTGTACATTCTATTTATTCTATTACCAAAATACACGTTACTAATTTTAAGGTCTCCACGACACAGTGGAGCTACCAGGGATACATAAAAGCATTGAAATTAATTCTCATGAATCCATCAAACGTAAACCACATTCCCGTGGTCATGCATTCCCCTTTTCGCACTCTAATTAATAGTAAGTCAAGCTTTGCTACATTAGGTGCACTGAGATTGATATGTATTAGACAATAATACTGCATTAAGGTCATATTTGTTAAGCAACACTTAAATACAAAACCTAAAAACAATTGACTTTGACATTGACGCAATTAGCTATCAATCAATACGGTAGTCGACAGGTAGTCAAATTCAATACTTTTATTGAAATGTCAAAAACTATACTTTTATATGAATTTTGTATTGGATCGCTACTTATGACGCCATCATATTTCTGTGTCAAATAGCATACTTATTTCCCTAAAATTAGCGACAAAAAAATATAAAAAATATAAAAGATATAATATTCGTTGCACTTGGATTATATGGAGTTCAAGAAATTTGTGCTGCAGGCAGTGGCGAACTTCAAGTCACAGCTTGAGTTGCTGATGCTGGGTCACGACAAACATGAGACTGCGATGCGACGTAAGGTGTTGTTAGTCCATGGCGTCCCTGAGCACAAGAATGAGCAGCTGCGTGAGGTTGTTGTGGACGTGTTGTGCAACCGGATGGGCTTGACTGAGCTGCATAAGGGGAATAGCCATGTTTGTCATAGACTGGGTTCCTCTAGCCGCAGTCCTAGACCGATTCTTGTGCGCTTCTACACGACCGAACACCGTCATCTCGTCTGGGATAATAAGAAGTCGCTGAAGGGCACTGGCATCACAATCTCCGAGTTTTTAACGCAACTGAGACACCGGTCCTTTATTGCAGCCCGCAAACATTTCGGCCAGACAAATTGCTGGACTGTGGAGGGCAGGATTGTTATCATCGCGCCGGATAAGTCCCGCCATAAGATTGAGTCCATGGCGCAACTGCAGGAGCTTGTTGTCAGATTTCCACCTGTTTCCTCTGGACCCGACATTCCTGTGGCAGTTGGTCCCGGCTCGCCTTCCTGCACGACTACTGATTTGGAGACCAAAATCCCAAGGAAGGCGCGTCGACGTAACAACAACTAAGTGCTACTTCATATACGAGGTTACACTTTTTTATTCATTCTTGTAGACCCTGGTGGTGGACTTTGTACCCATTGGCCTTATTAGATGTCAACAATTTTGAGATAATTTTATAATTAAGTTTTTATTTTGCCGGTATGTCACGATTTCGTTGATAAACATTGTGTTTACACCTACATTCACTTTCATTTTTCATTTCAAAACCAATCTGTCAAATGTCATCTGTGTCACTGTCGTTTAATGATGTTGCGTTTTGATAATGCTACTTATGTTTGTAAGTTTATTTTTTAATTAGGTAATTTATTCTGTTTTAGATACTATTGTTACATTTTTCTTATTATTATGCTGTGTAAGTCCACTTTTACATTATTTTTATTTTATTTAGCAGGTGCTTATTTTCTTTATTTTTTCGTAACTTGTAATATTTTTTCTTCTACTCTTTTTATGCTAAATGTCTGCAAGTTGGGGGGTTGTTTATTTTATTTAATTTTTTTTTTGTAATTAGCAGCCTTACAGCCTTTTATTTTTATTTTTGATATTTCTGTATTTTATCATTGATATAATATTACTATTAGTTTATTTATATTTTTGGCACTATAATGGACAATTTTGTTGACTTCAACGAAAGTTTTTTCTCATGCTCTTCCGAGTCTAGTTGTGCCAGTGCGGGTGGTGGGGCATCGCAGTCATGCACTCTGCATGACTCGCTATCCTGCACTTTTTCGCCTTATCCCAAAAACTTAAATATCGCTCACATAAATGCCCAGAGTGTTCCTGGCCACTATTCCGATCTTCTGGCATCCTTTAGCAATGCTCACCTTGATATCCTGCTGATTTCCGAGTCATTCCTTAAGCCTTCTCTCCTTTCCACGCACTATGTCCTGCCGGGCTTCGTTTTAATCCGCAATGACAGAACAGGCAAGGGCGGGGGCGGGGTCGCCATGTACGTCCGCTCCGACCTACCTTTCCGCGTGATTAGTGCGTCCCCGTCTACCTACTCGGAGTCGGCGGAGTATATGTTTGTAGAGATCACAATAAACATGAACAAAATTTTAGTTGCTGTCTTGTATAGTCCAAATCTCCATATCAACTATTTTGATGCTCTTGACATGCAGTTAAACAATTTGTGCCCTAATTATGACCATATTGTAATAATGGGGGACTTTAATACATGCCTTCTGAAACAAAATTCACGTTCACATAAACTCCTATCTCTTCTCACCTCTTTTAATCTTAGTTTACTTCCTCTTTCACCCACCCATCATGCTCCTAACTCTTCGCCTTCCTTACTTGACCTGATGATCGTGTCCTCACCTGATCATGTTGATGATCATGGCCAGCTGACTGCTTCATTTTCTTACCATGATTTAATATATTTATCATACCGGATCCGCACTCCTAAACGAAAACCTCGCTTTGTTAATTTGCGCAGTTACAAGCGCCTGGATCTGGAGGCGTTGCAGCATGATGTCTCTCTCATTGACTGGAGTCTTGTGATTGATGCTGGGGACATTGATGTGAAGGTTGACACTTTTAACTCAATTATACACGATCTGTATGATAAACACGCACCGGTGCGTCGTGTGAGGATTAAACACGACCCAGCTCCGTGGGTTACTTCTGTAATTAAAGATGCCATGGGTCGTAGGGACAGGGCGAAACAAAAACTTAAGCGCAGACCTTCCGCTGAAAATCTAGCGAATTTCAAAATGCTGCGGAACCGATGCAGTCGTCTGTGTAGAGATGCTAGGAGGCGCTATTTTGAGGAGAACCTGGAGAAGCACAATTCAAGCGACGTTTGGAGGTTCTTGCGATCTGTGGGCATTGGTAAATCACCTGTTTCCGATGCCAACGACGTAGACCTTGCGGTTCTAAACGATCACTTCTCACTCTCTCCGGTATCACTCGACGGCTCCATTAAATCTGTCACCCTATCCAATCTTTCTAGTTTACCACTTCCTCCCTGTTCTCCGTTCGTCCTTAGCAGTGTCACTGATGATGACGTGAGAAAGTCCATGTTGGCAGTGAAATCCTCAGCGGTGGGCAGTGATAATCTATGCTCTCGTATGTTTATCCCTATTCTTCATCTCCTCACTCCTATTCTTACCCACATTTTTAATTTCTCCTTATTTTCCTGTTCTTTCCCTACTGCCTGGAAAATGGCTCACGTTATTCCCCTGCCTAAAATATCCAAACCTTCTGTTCCCTCTCACTATAGACCTATTTCTATTCTCCCTTTTCTCTCCAAGGTCATGGAACATATTGTTCACAAACAACTAACGGCCTATCTATCCAGTAATAATCTCATTTCCTCCTTCCAGTCAGGTTTTCGTCCTGGTCACAGCACCGTCACAGCTTTGCTCAAAGTTACAGATGACATTCGCTGGGCCATGGATAATAAATCTCTCACTCTTCTTGTTCTGTTGGACTTCAGTTCCGCCTTCAATTCCGTAGATTTTGATGTCCTGTTGGGTATTCTTAAGTCCAACAATTTCTCCTCTTCTTCCTTATCCTGGTTCAACTCCTATCTCCGGGGCCGCCGTCAGCGGGTTCGCCTAGAGGATACCTTTTCCGATTGGTGTGACCTCGCTGCTGGCGTGCCTCAGGGTGGTGTCCTTTCTCCAGTTCTTTTTTCCATTTTTATTAACACCGTTGCCATGGTTATCACTTCTAATTTCCACCTCTACGCAGACGACTTGCAGCTTTACCGTCATTTCAAGCTGTCAGAGGTCGACTCTGCAATTGAAGCCATGAACCGTGACCTGGGTGGGGTCGACGAGTGGGCCAAATCCTTTGGCCTGCAAATCAACCCCCTCAAGTCCAAGGCTATGATAATTGGTGGTAGGTTTTACCGCAACGCATTGAGCATCTCTGCCCTTGATCCTTTGATCCTAAATGGCAATGTTATCCCTTACACTGATGTTGCCAAGAATCTGGGCGTGTTTATTAATTCTAACCTTTCGTGGGGTGAACAGGTGAACGAGATCAGTCGTAAAGTTCATTTCTCTTTGCATTCGCTGAAGCGTCTCCAGTCTCTTCTACCTCTGAAAACGAGGATCAACCTTATGCAGTCTCTGATCCGTCCATTGATCGACTACGCTGATGCTTGCTATTTGGATGCCACGGAGGAGCTTCTAAATAAACTTGAGCGCTTGCAAAATGTCTGTATACGCTTTGCCTTTGGTTTAAAAAAGTACGATCATATCTCTGAATTTCGCAAAAGACTCAAGTGGCTCCCAATCCGACTTCACAGGAACACTCGCATCTTATGTCTTCTTTTCAACATACTTTTTAATCCCGATTATCCCTCTTACCTTCGTGAACGTTTTTCCTTTGCCCGCCCTCCTGAGGCTCTTTCCCGATCTCATCTTAAATCTAATCTTTCTGTTGTCTCACACAATACTGATTTTTACACCTATTCCTTCACTGTTCATGCAGTGCGACTTTGGAATTCCCTACCACCTAATATCCGTGATTCTAAATCCATCCCAATCTTTAAAAGACTCGTAAGGGAGCACTACCTTTCCTCATCTTGTTCAAATTAGTGTCATATATATATATATATATATAATATGTTTATTTGTAATATACTCTAATATGTGTATTATTTGATGTGTATCTATCATATGTATGTATAGGTCTATGTATTTTATTGTGATCTATTTATTTAACACATTTCATGTCATGTTACGCACAGTGTCTCTTTTTTTACCGTTTTTCCTGTCGAAGGACTGCAGGAAGAGATTCCTTCGGGAATATGTAGTTCCTATGTACCTCCAAAATATTTATATATGTTCTCCTGTGTACTGTCTGTGTGTTGTGCATAAATAGATAAATAAATAAAAATTAGGTACATTGTCAAATCAATGGATGAGAGTATAATTATTTTTTAATTATTTATTGCATTGAAAAGTTGAAACAATTTATTTTAAACCTAGGAAACTAGCCAGTTATTCTTTCAAAATGCACGAAATTTAATCGAAAGTGAACACAAAACCAAGTTACCAAACTACCAGGGTTACATAAAACGTAAAAGCATTGAAATTGTATCTCAAGAATTCAGTAAATGGCAAACCACATTGCCGTAGTCCATGGCTCCATGCAGTGCCCTATTCACGTTCTAATGTACCTGTTTGTAAGTCAAGCTTTGCTACATTAGGTGCACCGAGACTGTATGTACCAGGCAAACATACTGTGGCAGGGTCTTGCTTGTTCCGCTACGTTTATTCTGATTTAGTGGACCATACTGCTATTAGTAAGGAAGATAGTAGTTCGTGTACTTGTAAGGTTGATGTAGTATTATTGTAAATGTAGGTTTATTGTTTTGTTTAAGAGCAGTTTTTATTAAGAACGGGGTAAGCAGAGGAGTATTATGTTGAAGCTTAGTGTTTCTTATACTTTTTTTAAGCAAACAATTTGTTGACGATATTTCTTTCATTACAATGTCAAGTCAAAGGGTATTTTTTTAATTTATGCTGGAATATTTTCATATTATATAGAAATATGACTAAAATATTCACTTTTATGATAAACAAACAAAAAAGAACGTCTTGTCCCATGTTGGGCGCCAATAAAACCCTTCAAGCGCTTTAACATTTTAAATACATTTACTCCTTACACAAAATTAGCACCAAGAAGATAAATAGTGGCCTTCCCTGCCATCTTTCCATATAACGTATGGGCCTCAAGAGAGTACCACCTGTCTTGCGCTGCGCAAAGTAAACCTCCTTTACCTTTCGTTAAAAATGTAAGCATACCTCTTGCTTCTTCTGAGATCCTAATGACTGTTGTACCCTCGTTATTTTTTTGGATGTTCTCCTTACTTTAGAAATTTTAATAATTGATAGAAAATAGTATAGTAGATTAGGATAAGTTGGTGTGTAAATTATAATTGCTTAAATGCAGAAATATTATTTTGATGTGAATTCTATCGAGTTGGATATTTCTCATTTTTCTCGAGTTTAAATCACGGGTAGGGTAACGGTAAAGTATTATTAGGTGGTTTTGTAAGTTTCTCGAAACTTACTGATCATAGTACAAAGTCTGTGATTGTCGCTACTTATGGAAATAGATTCCCTCCATCTTATACAGAATTTATAACATAACTGCTAGGCTATTACCTCTATATAGTTTCAAGTCCAAAGATCGAGGATAACTCATTCAAAGTCCGCCATAATATCATTCATTGTGAGAATACACCAAACTCGACCAATGACGGACGAGAATGCGATCCAGCTCACTTATAGACAGTTACAAAATTACTGGTCAAAATGTTAGATTGAATGTAAGAGCTATATACTTTCGGGGATTTAAAAATGTGACATTGTGAATAATAACAACTCATCTAACCATTTATATTCTTTCTTTCAAAGGCTGGGTCACACTCACATTCTTCGGTGAATCAGTCCGCTTGATTACTAGTAAGGAAACGAATGAGACGTTGACAGAAGTAGCCCCTCGACTGCCTCTGAAGGCCTGGTACCCTTTCAATGCTATGAGCGGCACCACGTATATTATCGCTTTCGCTTTTCAGGTAAGTTATTCAAGATTTGTGAAATGTGCTCCACTTATGAAATTGCTACTAAAAGTATATTTGTAGAAAAAAAGATTAAGGAAGTTCAAGGTTCAAACCTTTTAAACTTTTTGTTTAAGACAAATAAAATAAAATAATTTGGCTATAAGCTTTTTTCCTTCTTCAAATTTTTTTATTAGATTATAATTATTATTCTTATTATCTTAAGCCATGGTATCGATGTCATTATAAAGGAAATATTATTTATTTTCTTCACAATTCCTTCTCATAGGTCTACTGGCTCCTCTTCTCAATGGCTATAGCAAATCTGATGGATGTTATGTTCTGCTCCTGGCTGATCTTCGCTTGTGAACAGCTGCAGCATCTGAAGGCCATCATGAAACCTCTCATGGAACTCAGTGCTTCACTGGACACGTATCGGCCTAATACTGCTGAGTTGTTCCGCGCTTCTTCCACTGGTAAGACCAATATGCGTGCAGAGAACATTAATCTAATAAAAAAAATGACTCAAATATTTTAGTAGGGGGCTAACCCTAACTGGCAATATGATATTTTTAGTAATTGTACTCAATTTTTTTTTATTAGACTTATTAACATAAAAAACGAAAAAATTATGAAAATAGAAAATATAATAAAAATAAAACAAAATAAAATAAGCCTTTATTGCTGTAGTTACAATAACAAAAATTACAGTTGTAACCAAAGTTGTAACAGAGTTAAATAACAAACTTAAAAACTACTCTAACATTATCTCAGCAATCGGTTTCTCTCCTCTTACAACAGCTTGTCTTTCGACAAAGGCCTCCTCTAAGGATTTCCACTTGTTTCTGTCCTTTGCTACACGTAACCATTCTAGCCCTGCTAGAGGAATAGAAAATATACTGTGATTTAAATGAAAAATAAAACATTCCGGTTTTTAACAAATAGATAGACTTTGTAGTGGGAGAGCCATGCTTCGGCACGAATGGGCCGGCTCGACCGGAGTGATACCACGGCCTCACAGAAAACCGACGTGAAGCAACGCTTGCGTTGTGTTTCGTCGTGTGAGTGAGGTTACCGGAGGTCCAATTACCTTCCCCTTCCCCAATTTCCCCAATCCCTGAATCCCCAACGATCCTCAAACTCCTAATCCCCAAAAAGCTGGTGACGCACTTGTAACGCCTCTGGTGTTCCAGGTGTCCATGGGCGACGCCGATTGCTTACCATCAGGTGATCCGTCTACACGTTTACCGTCTTATGCCATAAAAAAAAATACATATAATCAACATGCATACCTAACAAATTTTTCAGCTGCGTTATTGTACTATTTAGTAAATGTTTCTGAACTTTTTAAAAATTAACCTATTTTCTACAGAAAAATCAGAAAAGATTCCTGATACTGTCGACATGGACATCCGCGGCATATATTCCACGCAGCAAGATTTCGGGATGACATTGCGAGGAGCTGGAGGTAGACTGCAGACCTTTGGACAGCAGAACAACAACCCTAATGGCTTGACTCCGAAGCAGGAGATGCTGGCGAGGTCTGCTATTAAGTATTGGGTGGAGAGGCACAAACACGTCGTCAGGTGAGATTTAACAGCAATAGAAAAATGCAATAGAATAAATACTAGTCACATTTTCCGAGTTATACATACTTTCTAAGATTATCTAGACACAAACGGCGAAGAAAAACATCGTGAGGAAACCCACACGCAAGCGTGGTGATTATTGGTCTGACCTCCGTGCGTGAAGAGACCTTTGGCCAGCAGTGGTCATTTATAGGCTGTTGATAATGTTTGCTAGACCATGGATGTAAGGCCGTTATGTAAGGCTAGGTTAAGGCAGGATGTGTAAAATTAAAATAACCCAACGTAACACTAGTTTTCACCATTTATGTTATGAGTCCCATGTAAGGCTGGGCCTATTGCCATATACCGGACACAGTTCCGGCTGAGAATAAAAAAAAAAACAATAGTACTTTGCCCGACCCAGGAATCGAACCTGAGACCCCTTCCCCGGCAGTCGCAGTTGCGACCACTCGGCCAACAAGGCAGTATGTAGTATAAGGACGTATAAAATTATCATACGTGTGGTATCATTATTACTGATTTTGAGTTAAGTTCTATCAGTTAGACAACGAGTCTTTGGGCCGAAATTCGAAGAAAATCTACATTTATTAGGAAATCTTATTCAAAGATATTAATAGAGTACAATTAGCCATTCTAATTGAACTTAATAGACCCTTTGCGACCACAAACGTGCTAACTATTCCCCCGAGCTCTATAATCTGTGGTTAGAAGTCATTCGTACTTCGGAAAACTTCGACTAACTTCGGAAAACTTCGTGTTTGAAGTTGTGAACTCGGAATATGGTTTAATTTGAATTTAAAATTCGTTTGAGATATCAAGAAATGGCTTCGTATGAATCTTGATTTAGTTAAAGTAGAGTTTGGTTAGTTGGTTAGTAGTTGGAGAAGTTTCAGATGTTATCGTTTATTTGTGACTAATTGGTCTAATAGGCCTTCATTTTGCTTTTTGTTATTTTCTTTTTCGATCTATTTGACTGAATTTTGATGTTACAGTGTTCTCGCATAATCGAGCCAACAAAAATATGTAACTAGAGACTTGTATTTTGAACCTGATTGAAAAAGAGTGACCTATGGAGTTTCTTGCTCATTCCTCTCTATAGGAATCTACACCATTTGTCTTTCTCCGAAAAGTCTCATAACTTTTCTTAGCATTCAATTGTTTTGTACATTATTACGCAAATATTTTGTTCTTTTTTTCAATAATAACGCTGATTTAGTACTGTGGCTGATGTTTGGTACTTAGGTTCTTCACTCAAATGTAGTACCGTATAAAATTATTTTAATTACTTCGCATAATTCTTGTTTTCAGATTGGTAGCATCGATAGGAGATACGTATGGTACTGCCCTGCTGTTCCACATGTTGGTGTCTACTATAACACTCACTCTGCTGGCTTATCAGGCTACTAAGGTAAGCAGTACTTAAAACTTAGGTCATGGTGGTCCGAGGTGGGAGCCTAGAGATCCGCCACACAGAATCCTAGTATAGACCCCAGTCTCTCACTAAGGAGCGTAGATCTACGCGAGACATAATGCGTTTTCTATTGTATCTCATATACCGACAGACAAGAGGTTAATAAAAATTGGGAAAATAGTAGATTGACCAATTTAATGTTGTGTTCTAAACTCTATATCCAACATATTTTGTATCAGTTTCGAAAACTGTGAATACTCAACAGCATTATTCAACATAGTCATTAGAAAAAATTGTTTTCCTATCAAAACATTACACTTATAAATTGACCCATATAAGAACCTAAACGTTTGTCATTGTATACGAATTTACGTAGTACATAGTATACGAATTTCGTAAAAATATTGCCTGTCATTCATGTAACCGCTTCGCTTGATCGGTTCCAGACTAATATCAAATGATCATTACTCATTTTCGATCAAGCGATGATCCAGTAATTTAACGTACCACAGAAAATTAATACTACGGCTATCGTGTTTTATGTCAGGTTACATTATTATGCTTTAATAAAACCATAGTATGTAATTTATGGTTGAAGAAAAATGGTTAAAAAAACAAAATAGATTTTAAAGTAGGTTCACATTTATTATACTTTTATTTTCTCTTTTAGATCAATGGAATTAATGTGTATGCGTTCAGTACTATTGGCTACCTCAGCTATACCCTGGGCCAGGTGTTCCATTTCTGTATCTTCGGGAACAGGCTTATTGAAGAGGTGAGTAGTTTTTGGGACCGTTTTTTAGGGTTGCCGAAGATCGGAAAAGTATTGATGCAGAATTCAGGAGTTTGTGATTTCATTACTTATCTTGAATTATTCATTACTTAACAGGGTATACCTACCTACATACCTATCTCGAGAAAATCACCTGTGATCTGATCACTTGGGGATTAGGATTTTGCGGATTGGGAGGGGAAAAATTGGGCCTCCGGTAGCCTCACTCACACGACAAAACACAAGAAGGTGTTATTTCACGTCGATTTTCTGTAAGGCCGTGGTAGATATGACTCCGGTCGTGCATGGCACATTCCACACTTTTTTTTCATTTAGCCCAAAATTAACACACAAGAAATCGGATATATACAAGAAATAAAAAGTCTTGGAAAAGTGAACCAGTCCCTTCTACACATTTGTGACTAGTAAAATTATATCTTTTTCTTTTTCTCCACATTTTATCGTACACTATCTTGATTTCAATAATTTTCTTCCACCAGAGTTCCTCAGTGATGGAAGCCGCCTACTCCTGTCAGTGGTACGACGGCTCCGAGGAAGCAAAGACCTTCGTCCAGATCGTGTGCCAGCAATGCCAGAAAGCTATGAGCATCTCCGGAGCCAAGTTCTTCACGGTGTCACTTGATCTTTTTGCTTCGGTACGTGATCCATTGTTTTATAAATATTTGTAAGATAGTGGATAATTTGGTATGGTTTTGCCACTGTACTGGAAATTACGTTTACGGCTTACGTTTCCGGAGCTGCAGATGGCCTAGCGGGGTACTGTGGCTCCGGCTGAAAATGTCGGTCGAAACAAGGTCTAGGTGCGCACCCAGTGGTCTCAAGGAAGACAGTGGAATTGCGTGCCGTCGTACACAACAAGGCTTAAAGGAGACACCCGTCTCCCTAGGGATGTGTCGTAACAGGCATTGCAATGTGAGGGCTACAGAGCAGGTCTCTTTTAGAGGACCCGATGCCTCCATAAAGGTGTTGCTACCTGGCTCTTTTTCTGTCATCCCCTCACTAGTCTTACACACAATTGAACGTTTCCCCCATAATAAAAAAAAGGGTAGGAACAGGGTGGTTTTCAGTCAGTAAGAGTCTAACGCTTTTTCTCGCCTCACTCAAGGTGGGAGAAGTCATTGAATGTTATTCATCGCCAAAAAAAAAAATGGAAAATAGAATTTTGCAAATATTTAGGGTGTCTGAAAAAGAAACATCGTTGGCATGACTTTGAGGAATTGTCTATTTTTTGATTTTAACAATAATTTTTTTATCTTACAGGTACTTGGTGCAGTAGTCACTTACTTCATGGTGTTGGTACAGCTGAAGTAAAATGGATTTCGCTACTATGTCCAATTGTTTACAGTATATTTTTGAATGTTTCTACCATCAGGTGGACTATTTAGAACCTTGTATGGTAAATAGAAACAAAAGGGATAAAATATTTTTTATAATATTAAATTAAATCATATTTATTTTTGAACTTAATACACGGGGTGATGATAAAAGATGTCGATTTTCAGTTAAAAGTTCATGGTGTTCAATTCTAGCCGATTTTTATCAAAACAAAATTCCCCCAACATTTTTTTCTTTTTGAGATTTTTGAGATTTTTTTAACAAGTTAATTATAACATCTGTAAGATTTCTTATATTGACCGTAACATAAAAATTGAAAATAAATTCTAACTTATTTTATCGTTTCAGTACGAAATCGGAATGTAATAATTTAATTAAATATGAAATGCCTGAAGGAAAAATTGTTCGGAAACTTAATTTATTCTTTTCAAAGAAATTAAGATTCATTTAGTGATATAAATCTAGTAGCGAGCTTCTTATAAAGTAGTCGCGCAAAATATATTTTAAAGGTTTTATTATATAGGTAGTATTAACTTTTTATAAGAAATAATCTGTATTTTATAATAATAAGCACTAAATATTTAAAATTATTTACAAATAAACGAAATATTTTAATTAAAACTTTTAAATCTATGTACATAAAGTTTTCTTCTTTATAGAAATGTTAATAATTTATTTAAAAATGAAATTATTTACGACTTATAGAAGTAGTTAAGATAAATATAGAGGTAAAATAACAAAGATGGATAATTTATTTTCAAATGATTATATTTTTATTTTATGAAATCTTATTTATAAACGTGTTGTATTTTAAAAGTATTTAGAAATCACCCTGTACATGTAGGTGTATTTATTTTATTCTAATAAAGTGTTTAAAATTATGGTTCGCTTATTTTATAGTACTTAGATAAGTTTTACAACATTTCAGGATCGAGCAAAGTTATACTGGGTTTTAAAAAAAATCTCAGTTGTAGCAGTCTGGAATTATGCCCATTATATGGCAGTAGGCTCACCCCCTATTAGATACATGGGACTGATAACATAAATAGTGAAAAGTGGTTGTTACATTGTAGAGTGACATTAAGTGCCGTAATGTGCACCTCTGCCTATCCCTTCGGGGATAAAGGGTTTTTTTTGGATGGTTATAGCCGGTAAACGAGCAGACGGATCACCTGATAGTAAGCAATCGGCGTCGCCTATGGACACCTGGTACACCAGAGGCGTTACAAGTGCGTTACCGGCCTTTTGGGGATTAGGAGCTTGAGGATCGTTGGGGATTCAGGAATTGGGGAGATTGGAGAACGGGAGGGCCCTTTGCGTCGTGTAAGTGAGGTTACCGGAGGCCCAATAACCCCCTTCCCCAATCTCCACAAACCCTAAATCCCCAACAATCCTAATTTCTAATCTTCAATAGGCTGGTAACGCACTTTTTTTTGAATGCGACAAGCCCGCAACAACCTCCCAGAACCGCTGCAAATCCTGTAAGCCAGGATCTTTAGATACAACCATGAAAACACCGGAACACTGAAGTGCGGCGCGTCCCAGGGACATGAATAACTGTCTTGGTTCCCACAACGAAGTGAATCAGAAGGTATTATAATAAGAGAAGAAAAAAAAACGTACTTGTAACGCCTCTCGTGTTCCAGATGTCCATGGGCGGCGCCGGTTACTTACCATTAAGTGATCAGAGTGCCAAGCACGAATAACTATCGCATTCGTAACGTAATACAGTGAAACTTCTGATTGGCCGGCTCAAGTGACCCAACCAATCAGAATGCTTAACTCACTCGATACTGTTACGATACGAATGCGATAGTTATTCGTTGTTGATCCTTGATTGCTCGTTCACCGGCCTATCCTATAACAAATTTTTTTTCCCACATTTTAAAACCTTTGTCAATTTCCTATGAAATAAATACGAAAACAGTTTTTAATTTCCGTAAACCATTAAATAATGTTATGACATCTGAAGTGGCAAAGTTTACGAGTGGCTCGTGCCTCGTGGTCTGTGGCTCCACAGTAATTGCTTAACGCTTTTAATGGCGTCGCCACATATTTCCCTGGTCGTAACATTTTGAAGTCACTTTGTTGTCAAACAAATGTTTTTTTTTTATTTTAGGTGGTGCGTGCTGCTAATCAAGGCAGTGAAATATAGGTGTTTGCTTTTCTTTTGGAAGAAATAGGTGATATTTATATCTGGTTTGAATACAGTTTTAATTATTGTAGTAAAGATATGTTCTTAATAAATTGACTGCCTTGTCGGCCGAGTTGTCGCAAGTGCGACTGTCGGGCAAGGGGTCTCGGGTTCGATTCCCGGGTCAAGCAAAGTATGACTGGGCTTTAAAAAAAATCTCAGTAGTAGCACGGAGTCTGGAATTGTGTCCGGTATATGGCAATAGGCTCACCCCCTATTACATGGGACTTATAACATAAATAGTGAAAAGTGGGTGTTACATTGTACAGTGGCATAATGTGCACCTCTGCCCACCCCTTTGGGGATAAAATGCGTGATGTTATGGAATCTCCCTAGAGATATATTTAAAAATGTTATTTAGAACATTCATATTAGGAGGCGCCGATTGCTTTACAACATTTTTTCCTTTAAAAAAACAATGGTTTTCTTAATAAAGGTTTCAAATAAAATCACTTTTAGTACCTAAACTTGAGTTTTATCGGTTTTTAGAATAATAGAATTTTAGAACATAATTTTTTACTAAAGAAAAACCTATAATGATAACAACTATCTTGCTTGACATTACCAAAAATCTATCCCTAATTACTACCGACGAATCTATCTCTACAACCTTCAAAGAACCATTTAAATTGTATTTCAAAGCAATCTCATCTAAATAAATACAAGGAACAAATTAATTTCTACAAAATATTAACAATTTCCTTTAAAACGATATCCGAAACTTTAGAGTGGCCGATTCAATATCCGATGCCTAAGGCTGGCTGCACACGGTGCGACACGCTTCGACAGATACGACCGATGCGATTCCCCGAAGCGTGACAAGTCGGCACCAACGGTCGGATGAACTGACGAAAATACTGGCTAAATTGCTTTTAGCCTTTTGCACGTTTCGAACGTGGAATTTTCTTGTGGTTTTAAATATTTTTGAAGTTAGAACGTGGTTTGTTTTTTTTTGGGGCTGTTTTGTTATGTTTTTTTTTTTGGTTGATTGTTGTTTTTTGAATTAAAGGTTTTTGATTGGTTGAATTTTAACTCGTCGAGTACCGGTTTTGTAGACACAATTATAAAACAATAGGTTGCGGTCACCGGTGACCGCTTGGTGTTTGACAGTTTAAATTAGGTCGTGTCTCAGCAAGAAGCGTATTAACCGTAGCATTAAGTATTGTTATTTTGGGTAACTGCACTTAATACGTCTACGTCTATTTTATAACCAAGTTACAAATTCCATCTTCATAAAATTAAACAATTCAATCAAAATTATTTGTAGACACAATTATAAAACAATAGGTTGCGGTCACCGGTGACCGCTTGGTGTTTGACAGTTTAATTTGGAAACTCAAAATAGCAAAAAAAAGTTAAAAATATAACAAAGCTTTTAATTACAACAACATGACATACCATCACGCCTCTTATTACTGAAGGAATAGCAGAGGTGTACATTATTGCACTTATGCCACTGTACAATGTAACACCTACTTTTTACTGTTTATGTCTCATGTCTTATGTGTCTCTATGTCAGTCCCGTGTAATAGGTGGTGAGCCTATTGTCATACACCTGCCGCAATTCCAGACTTCGTGCTACTTCTGAAAATTAAAAAAAAAACTAAGCCATTCTTTGCCCGACCCGGAAATCTAACCCGAGACCCCTTGCGATTACTCGGCCAAAGAGGCAATCGTTTTATTTTAAATTACCAAACAGAATAAACAACAAAAACAAAACCTGTTTACAAATGGACTCCGAATTACAATATTATTTCAAAATCAGATAACAAGGTACTTGTGTACCCATCCTTACATTTTAAACGCTTCGGGCAAGGCCTTAATTTTATTCCTAAAGTTAATTAACGAAAATGATTCAGTACTGAATTCAGCTTTTAATTTGCCCCAGCTCTAGTATTTAAATGGTAATTTATATTTTGTTATTTAAATCTCACATTGTATTGCCATTTGATTGCGATTTAATGTAGAGGGTGTTTCGTGTATTCATGACGGCCATTTTGTTGTTGTATTTACATATTTGACTGCACGGTTGGCGCATATACTGACCATACTGACCATACTGACCAGGGTGCTTACTCTTAAAACCAATCTTAATGTCAATGTAATTTCAATCCAATAAAATCTCAATAATGATTCAATGTCAAAACTGTACAACCCCTTTCGTAGCTGTTGAAATAGCATTCAGAGTACGGAATATAAAGCCAAACTCAATACCATTTAGTTTATTCAATATCCACGCAATACAGATGCAATGGGCGCTAGTGTTGCAACTCAAGAGTACAAAATTTCACAGGACCAATGTCGATCGATCGGAATTGGATTCAAGAGTAAGATTGGCGATATATTAAAGAAGGGCCAAATTAAAAGTACCTTTTTTTTTAAGGGGGGAAAATCATCAAATGACTGCTCCCGCCTGGGTGAGGCGGGAGGGAGTGTCAGACTCTTACTGACTAAAAACCACCCCGTTCCTTCTCCTGCACGTCGAGCCGGAGCCCCGGTTACCCGTTAGGTTCTCCGCGAC